GAGGAAACCATTAATAGTTTCAATCTCCTTTGGGTCCATCATGATGTTGCCTTTTGGTCCAGTGGTAGAAAAAAAATCTTTGTTTTCATGACATTGAGATGCCATCTATACTAAAGGCTACTTTCTTTGACCTGTTGCAACAAGTGTTTCAAGTCCTCCTCACTTTCAGCAAGCAAGGTTGTGTCATCTGCATAACACTGGTTGTTAATGAGTCTCCCTCCAATCCTGACTTCACATTCCTTTTCGTAGAGTCCATCTTCTCATAATATGCTCAGCATACAGATTGAACAGGTATGGAGACAGAAAACAACCCTAACACATTCCTTTCTCAATTTTAACCATGAAGTGTTCCCCTTTGCTGTTCACACAACAATTTCCTGGTCCAGGTATAGGTTTCACATGATCACAATTAAATGCTCTTGGACTCCCATTGTTCTGAATGTCAGTAAAAATTTGCTATGACCCACACAGTTAAATGACCTTACATAGTTACCAAAGCACTAATAGACATTCTTCTGGTATTTCTTAAGTTCAGCCAGGATCCATATAACATAAGCAATGATACCCCTGATGCCATGTACTCTATTAAATCTTGCTTGAACTTCTGGGAATTCTCTACGTATGTATTGTTCTAGCCATTTTTGAATGATCTTTAATATTTTGCTTGCAAAATATTGATGATATTGTTCAATAGTTTCCACAATCAGTTGAATCACCTTTCTTGGAATTAAAACACATATGAACCTCTTCCAATGTGTTGATGAGACAGCTGCCTTCCAAATTTTGTGGTATAGACTGGTGAGCACATCCAAAGTTGCATCTGTTAATTAAAGAAGGTCAACAGGTATCCCACTGATTCCTGGGGCTTTAGTTTTTACCAATGATTTCAACGTAGCTTCTGCTTCCTCTTTCATTATCATTAACTCCTGTTCATATTTAATATTCAGTACCATGGAAGCTAGGAGAACAATCAGGTTCATCCTAGAGAAGGTAAAACCAGGCTGCTCCGTGGAGGCGAAGATTCTGAAACTTTATCTGACGTATTTTGGGCATGTTGCAAGGAGGGACTAGTCTTTGGATAGGGACATCGTGCTTGGGAGGGTGGATGGACAGAGCAAGAGAAGAAGAACCTCAAAGAGATGGATTGATTTTGTGACTGGAGTAAAGAGGGTAGGTGTGTTGGAGATATAAGATTGGCTCAGGGTAGAGAAGGGTATGGAGTTCCTGTACAGAGTGTCATTATGAATCACAAGTGACTCGACTGACATATAACAACAATAACAACCTGTTCATATGGTACCTCCTAAAAGTTTTCAGTGTCAATCAGTTCTTTCTGTTACAGATTCTATCTATTCCCTCTATCTTCTTTTGATCCTTTTTGGGTCACTAAATATATTGCCCATAGCTTCTGTCAATATTGCGACATGAGGTTTAAATGTATTATCCTTTTCTCTACTTGAGAAATGCAGAGCAAGTTCCTCCTTTTTATTCTCCAATTCCTGCTGTCTGCACATTCTGTTATGAAACTTTGCTTTGTTCTTCTGAGCTGCACTTTGAAATCTTCTGTTCAGCTCTTTAACTTTGCCATGTTTTCCTTTTGTTTTTGCTTCTCAATGCTCCAGTGCAATTTTTTAAAATTTTGTGTTATTAATTTTAATTAACATTTACAGAGATTTTGGATTTCCATTCATTCATTGTTGCACTATTTTCTCTACCCCCCCCAGTTCATTCCTTTTTTTTTCCTTGCAAGTCTGTTTTAATGATCCCATTGCCACAGAGGTTGTCAAAGCCAGTTCTGATTAATCTCCTTTGTCAGTGTGTCCTTTTCCATTCCCTATCACTCCTCTCTGAGCGAGATTTCACCCTGATTCATAAGGAAAAGGGGATGGCTTATTCTCTTAGCTACTTCCTGCTGAAAAGGGACACTGTAGGTTTCAGGGTGAAAATCTTCTCACACTACTCTAAAGGGCCCCTTTGGCAGTAGGAAACACATAGACTATTGTGGAGATTGATTTTGGAATTTAGATGCATTGTTATCAATTGTCCTTAGCCGTACTTGTTCATATCCTTGAAGATGCATCATGGAAGTATTGCAGCCTAGAAGACACAAATTTAACTAGCAAGGTAAAAGTACATGAGTCAAAAATTATGGTGAAGAAGGAATAGTCTTTGGTAAAATATGGGTTTGGTGATAGAAAATGAGGCTGGAAATAGAATGACTTAATATTGTATTTACAGTCATTTATTCATTGCAAATACAATTTTTAAAGGACACAAATGATGACTTTTTACATGGATTTCACCCGATAGGCTGCATAGGACTAAGACTCATTGTAATTGTGGAAGAAATCATTGGAAGAAGCTCGGTATCACTCACAAGTTAACACTAGCCCAGTAGTGGACTGTGGGTCAGATGAAAAATTCAATTTGTCTTGGAAAGGGTGAAACTAAATTTCTCCTTGGAGGCTAGGATTTTGCAGCTCCATCTCACATACTTGGAGCATGTGGCAAGGAGAGAATAATCTTTGGAGAAGGATA